AACCTTCCTTCCGAGGAGTGGCTGGTGGGTTTGAACCGCCAGCCTTCTGGTGAGCAGTCAAGTGCCTTAGGCACTATGCTACCAGAGCTCCTCTACCTAATCGCTTCTAATTTATAATGAATTTACTGGACACATTTACAAGAAGCACAAACAAAGAAACTTAGATGCTACATCACATGAACCAAGAAGGGGCAAAGAGCTTACCTCAGAGCTGACAAAGAGAGAAAGAACTTTCCCCTGGAACTGGTGTCCTGGATTTAGACTGCCAGCCTCCCAACCTATGAAAAAATAAATTTTTGTTCTTTAAAGCTAAAGAAATGTGCAAGTGGAAAGATGTGCCAAAATCTGAATATGAAATTTGAAAACCTGTATTATGTTAGTGTTATGGTGATGGCAATGAAAATGGAGAAATTTAACAGGGTATTTGAAGTTCTGAAGTTTTAAATGATGATTATAAGTGATGGAGGAAGAGGAGGATGGATTGGAAAACAACATGAAGCTCTAATGAACAAAGTAAAAATCTTCCCAATTATTTCTATTTATTTACGTATGCTACAAATACAACTATGAATATAGTACAGTGTACAAGGGACAAAGTTATGAAAACTTCTTAGCCATAATCAACACCTCAAGGGTATGAGTCACTGGACCTGGAGGGTAAGAGGAAATCAAGGTCAATTGGCATAATATAGTTCACAAAAACAATGTTATATGTCCTACTTTAGTGAGTACACTCTGGGATCTTAAAAGCTTTTCAGCACCCATCTATGGTGCAGCCATTGGTCCCTCCACATCTGGAGCAAAGAAGAGAGAAGAAAATCAAAGATGTGTGGAAACAATGATTCCAAAGGACAAATGGACCATGCAAATCTCAGCCTCCATGACTCTGAGACCAGAACTAAATGGTGCTTGGCTACTACTGCCAATGGCTCTGAAAGGGTTTTCAATAGGCAGATCTGGATAAAGTGGGAGAAAAATGTTGAATAAAATTCAAAATAATAATAAAAAAAAAAAGGACCAGGCTTACTGGTCTTATAGAGGTTAATGGAACCCTAAGACAAAGGCCCTTCAATATCTGTCAAGCCTAGAAGTGAACTCAACCCTTTGTCCCAACTTTCAGACAAATAGTAGGTAGGCCTACAAGGTCAACAGTAACATCAGGGAGGCACATATTCCTTACAGCAATCAACCATATGAAATCAGTAGGGCAAACATTTACCCAGGGATAAAGCTCAGAGTTATGGAAGGGATAGGAATGAATGGAAAATGGTAAATATAGGAAGAAAGTGGAAAGAGTGTTTTTACATTATTGGTATTGCAATCAATGTCACTAAACATTATGTGTTTTAGTTGTTGAATAGAAAACCAATTTCGTCTGGAAACTTTCACCCAAATCACAATAAACACTTTAAAAAAATTAAAATAAAGGATTTGGGACTCCACAATGGTCATGTCCCTCACCCCCCAAAAAACTGCCATTGAGTCGATTCTAACTCATAGCAATCCTAGATCAATAGAGCAGAGTAGAACTGCCACATAAGGTTTCTGAGTCTATAATTTTTACAGGAAGAGATTGCCATGTCTTTTCTCCCACAGTGTGGCTTGTGGGTTTGAACTGCTGACCTTTTGGTTAGCAGCAAAGCACTTAACCCACAGCACCACTAAGGCTCCTGGCATATAATGATCAAATATCTCTAAATTGATAACTTATTATCATTCCCTACATTCTATATTGCTAAAAGAAACATATTTGTTATGTTGTTGTTGTTATGTGCCGTCGAGTCAAACCCAACTCATAGCGACCCCTCCTTGGGTTTCCGGGGAAGTATCACTACAGAAGTAGGATTGCCCAACCTTCCTTCCAAGGAGTGGCTGGTGGGTTTGAACCACCAGCCGTCTGGTTAGCAGGCAAGTGTCTTAGCCACTGTGCTACCAGAGCTCCCCCAAAGAAACATATAGTAAATATTTTTATGAATGCCAGGATTTCCTGTTTTGTTTTGTAATTGTTCTTTGTATTATGTATTTAAATTTGCTAAAGACATTTCAAATGTATCCATACAAACTCATAGTTAAATTTTCTGCATTAGAGAAGTATAATTTTTGGAGTACACACTACCCTTTTAATAAATATTGATAGATTACTCTTCTTATAACAACTGCATTTTTAGGATAATAGTAGTTATTTTATAAATTCTAAAGTTGTGACTTAACATAATAAGACTATATTACACATGTATATATGAATCTAATGGGTATGCTACCGGTTAGAGAACAGTTTTCTTTCATGGGTTATCCAGGGATCAAGGTTAATTTCACAAAGCCTCAGAATTCCTTGTTGCAACTAGTGGAAGGGAGGGTGGGTAATAAAGGAGAAGGCAGATCCTACTTCTTAAAAACCTCAACTTAAAAGTGACACATATTTGCACTCACTTTCCCTTGCCAAGGAGTAGACATATGACAACCAAAGCAAAAAATCAGCTGCCATCAAGCTATTTCCAATTCATGGTGACTTGAAATGTGTCAGAGTAGAACTGTGCTCCCTGGGGTTTTCAGTTGCTGATTTTTTGGAAGTAAATCATCAGGTCTTCTGAAATGCCTCTGGGTGGACTCAAACCACAAACCTTCCAATTAGCAGTGAGTATGTCAATCATTTGCACCACCCAGAGACTCAGACATAAGGCCACAGCTGCATGCAAAGTAGATTAAGCAAATGTAGCTTCTGGCTAAGCAGCTGCTTCCTCATGACAATACCGTGCTATAGAAAAAGGAGCAGTATTTCAATGAACGCTTTATCCTTTCAGTCAGAATCTCCTCTTCTAGCTAACAAATATTTGTATGCATTCTTCTTCCAATACATAGTGCACATTGCATTTAAGTCAAGGTGTAAGATTTTCAGATGATAGTGCAGTTTTCTTCATCGTGTCCTTTGTGGCTCATTGCACAACAATCTATGAACCAAAACACAAAATATCTGTACTTTCCTGTCCTTTCAACACATATATAAAATGATGAAACAGAGACAGAATAAAAACAAATAAGCAAACAAAAACTTCCCATTTTTAAAGTAAGACTAAAAGGCACACAGTGATAATTAGCCAAAAAAAAAAAAAGAAGAAATCCTGCCAGAAAAGTATGGTGAAGACCTCTTGCCCTAATGGTATTGTTGTTTTAAGAGTAAAAAGGACAAAGAATATTCTAGACTTAGCTCATGCTTTTGGAGTTATGGATTCCCTTGAAAATTAGCAAAACTTTGATTCTTTGCTTTCATTTAGTTCTATATACTAGTAACCACAGTCAAAATTATATTCTTCATATAATTATCAAGCCCTATTTACATGTTTGCCCTTTGTCTTTTTTACTTTCTTTTTCAACTTATTGGTGGTTATTTTGAAGCTTTTTCAACTTATTGGTGGTTATTTTGAAACCATCTGAAATAATGTTTCAATGGAAAGCAAACACCTTTTACTGTCTGAAGGCTAACTATTCCTCTTTAATTAAATACTCTTGATCAATGTTAGCTGCTAAAAGCCATTTACCAAACCTTGGTAAAGTGGAGGGTCAACAAAAAAGGGGAAGGCCTTCAATGAGATGGATTGACACAGTGACTGCAACAATGGGCTCTGGTATAGCAAGGATCATGAGGCTAGCACAAGACTAGACAGTGTTTCCTTCTGCAGTTATTGAAGAAAGGAAAATTATTAGGGCCTGGGAAGGTAACACAAGAGATATAAAAGAAAGAGATGATGTTGTTATGTGCTGTCAAGTCAGACCGGACTCATAGAGACCCCTCCTTGGGTTTCCGAGGAGGTATCCCTACAGAAGTAGATTGCCCAACCTTCCTTCCAAGGAGTGGCTGGATAGTTGAAATAGTCTAAACATAGTATAGTAATGGTTGGCATATGTAAGACTACATTTGAAACTCATAGTAAAAATCCTAACTCCAGCTGGGTAAGCAATAAATTTGTTATCTCACATGAAAGAAAGGCTGAAGAAGAAGAGGAACCTTGGTTGAATCCAAGATTGGTTGAATCAGTGACTCTATGACATTTATGAGAGCCAATTTCCTTCCATTTCTCTGCTCTGCTATTCTTAGCTACATCCTAATTCTTTTCCCCCCATGGTCATTCAGGTTGCTGCCAGCAGCAATTAACGAAAATTGCTTTCTAGCTCTGATCCAGAAAAAGAAAGGGAAAAACCTGTCCCCATATAGGAACTATAAACCCACTGCTTTAGTCTGAATGGGCCAAATAAGGTTGCTTTCTTATCCCTGGAGCAATAGCAAATGCTAGAGGAATTCTATGTGTGGTTTAGCTTTGGATTAATCACAATCCACCCTAAGAACTAAAAGTGGGTTCAATGTCCACTGGGTTATATAGGCTTTGGTAGTGGTGAGGGGATGGTGAGTGATGACTATCTGCATATCAACTTTCTGGTAGGAGAGAAAAAAAAAATGGGAAAAGAGAAGCTGAGTAGCAACCAATAACCTTCACTGTAGGCTATAAATTAAAGTGGTTTCAATGGCAATGGAAGAGAAGTGTGTGGAAGCAATATTACGAGAATAATTACCATAGAATGTGAACAATTTGAAAGCAAAATCTCATTTTTCCTGATTGATATTTTAAGGTTCTTTATCAAAGCCCTGCAAATAGTAGATAAGAATGGTACCGGCAGTGATGATGATGATGACAAAGATGGCAGTTACAACTTCATCAGTAACACCAGTGAAGGTGAGATTCACCTCAACAAAATGTGTAGCTCTCCAGCATGCTTTTGATATTAAAGCATTGTAAATTAGGGGAAAAAAAAGTACTTTATCCTTTTGGGAAAGATGGCATCACTGGTAACTTCACAATAAATAAGATAAAGCCTTAGTTGATTGCAGATGAGAAAACTCGAGTTAGAAAATAACACTAGCTGATGGAAATTCTGTTTTTTTAAAGATTCTCTTTCTTTTTTGATCTATATAAGTTTCTATCTCAAGGACAAATATTTGAATAGGATAAACAGGTTGATACTACATAAAACTGAAGCTGCTTAATAGAGAACATCTATTTTAAGCCATCCCTTTTTCTTTCAAAATACATTTTTTTAGTGTTATTATACATATCAAATTTCATGTACCAGCTGATGTAATATTGTATAATTTGAATAACAATGTTAAGTGCATTTTGTTTTGCATTACTTGTGCATTATTAATTAATTATATTAAAATAAATAATAAACAACAACAAAAAAAAACCACTCACTGCTATCAAGTTGGATCCGACTGGTAGTGACCCCACCTTGGGTTTCCGAGATGCTATCTCTACAGAAGTAGATTGCCCAATTTTTTTTCCGAGGAGTGGCTGATGGGTTTGAACTGCCAGCCTTCTGGTTAGCAGTCAAATGTCTTAGACACTATGCCACCAGAGCTTCTAGAATAAATAATAATGAATATAATTAGAATGAATATAAAATTTGTTTTTTTTTTGTAATCTATGACATTGAATCTAAAGAATGATTAATTTTGAATATAACCAAAATCTCACTTTTCCAATATGAAAAAGGAGCATTCATTTTAGCAGTAACATTATAAGTGAATTTAAAGGAGCACATTCTTTTGCCTTAAACACCCATAATTAATAGTATTTTTCAAAACTAACATCTGAGGTATGACATTTCCTAGGAGGTAGTCTTATTAAAGATTTGAGTGAGGAAAGACTTTACATTATATTTTTACAATAAAAATTTTGTTAGGGGACACATTGTAGAAGTATATGCAAGTTAGTGGAAACAATAGTCAATGCACTGTTTTATTGAATATTCTAACCTATAAATGAAATCATGCTGAATGCTCCACATGAAGTCCGTAGTGAACTCATAAGTGCTACATGATCTTCTCCAGGATAGAGGTGATTTTTTTTTCATTCATTAAACAATTTTTTTTTTTTAATTGTGATTTGGGGGGAAAATTTACAGAGCAAATTCTCTTTGTATACAGCAGTTCACATACACTTTGTCTCATGACATTGACCACAATTTACCACAAAGCAACAGCTCCCCTCCCACTTTGTGCTGATAATTACCTCTTCCCTGTGTTTATCCCTACATGACCTCCTGCCTCCTGAGCTGTCTCCTGGTGCATAAGCAGCCCTTCTTTCTCCCATGATTGTTCTCTCCAAGGAGCATATCTACCTCAGATAAATGTTCAACTCATATGCCTGTCTTTTGCTTGGCTGGAAGCCACAGGTGTGGGTTCAATTCCAGACCTGAAGGGCAGCTAGGGGTCATAGTCTCAGTGGTTCCACCAGGCTCTACTAGACCAGCAAACCTGGTCTCCCTCCCTTTTTGTTTTTTCTCCAAATGGTTTTGAATTTTGTCCACATTGTTCTCCCTCTCTATCCAGGATCTCCTATATAGATCCCCTTGCAAGTGGTTGACATTGGTAGCCGGATACCATCTAGTTCTCCTGGTCTCATACTCATATAGGCTGCAGATCAGATGGTGTACCAGTCACTAGGACTGATTGTATCCATGAATTTTTGGTTTTCTTCATTCTTCTTTCCTCTGGACAAGGAGAGATCCATCGTTGCATCTAGATGGCAGCTTGCAACTTTTAAGATCCCAGTTGCTACTTGCCAAAATAGGAGATGGAACAATGTTTTGTGTAGTATGTTATGCCAACTGAGTTTGTTGTCCCCTGCAACTATGGTCCCGAGTCCACAGGTTCAACTACTTAGTCCCTCTGGGTAGCTGGCTGCGACCAAGCAGTGACTACCACCTTGCCTCTTGTCAGCTCTACTATACACTTGGGAATTCAGATCATACACATAAACTTATAGGACCATTGTCTGCCAACTCTATACATGTTTTTGGGTACACTTCCTGCTTCATAGACATACCTACTAGTTCAGCCTGTCCACCCATCTGTCCACCTATCTATCCACCTATATACCCATGTTTGCCTTCACTGACAACATAGTACTGTATGTGCAAAAGGGTTTATCTTTGTTGTGGTACCTCCCATGTACCTCTCTATGTCTTTCTCTTCTTCAATGCCACCATGTTGATCACTCACATTTGGTACATTGCCCTTCTCTTCACCCAAATCAATATTTATCTCTATCTATCTAACAGTGTTCCTGCTCCTCCCCTCCCACCCCTGGTAACCAACAAAGAAAATTTCCTTCCATAGATAAACCTTTTCCTGACTTTTACAGTAATGGACTAATACAATATTTGTCCTTTAGTGATTGACTTATTTCACTCAGCATAATGTCCTCCAAATTCATCCATGTTATGTGGTGTTTTGCAGATTCTATATTATTCTTTAGCATCACATAGTATTCCATTGTGTGTATGTACCATAGTTTGGTTATCCATTCCTCAACTGATGGGCACCTAGGTTGTTTCCATCTTTTGGCTATTGTAAATAGTGCTGTGATGATCATGGGTGTGCATATGTCTGTTCTTGTCATGGCTCTCACTTCTTTAGGATATATACCTAGTAATGGAATGGCTGGGTCAAATGGTGTTTCTAATTCCAAGTTTTGAAAGAATTGCCATACTGCTTTCCACAATGATTGTACCATTTTACAGTTCCACCAGCAGTGTATGAGAGTCCCAATCTCTCCACATCCTTTCCAGCATTTGTTATTTTCTGTCTTGTTGAATTTTGCTACTAGTGCTGGAGCAAGATGGTATCTCATTGTTGTTTTGATTTGCATCTCTCTAGTAGCTAATGATCATGAACGTTTCTTCATATTTTTGTTGGCTGCTTGAATATCCTCCTTGGTGAAGTGTCTGTTCATGTCTTCTGCCCATTTTTAAATTGGATTATTTGTCTTTTTGTTTTTGAGGTGTTGGAGTTTTCTATAAATTCTAGAGATAAGTCCCTTATCAGATATGTCATTACCAAATATTTTTTCCCAATCTGTGGGTTCTCTTTTGACTCTTTTGGAGAAATTTTTGGAAGCACATAAAAATTTAATTTTTAGAAAGTGCTGATCATCTCATTTCTCTTCTGCTGTTTGTGCATTTTGAGTTATGCTTGATAGTCTATTTATGCCATATATTGTTGTTGTTGTTATGTGCCGTCGAGTCAGCCCCGACTCATAGTGACCCCTCCTTGGGTTTCCGAGGCAGTATCACTACGGAAGTAGGATTG